TTGTCTGTTTGACAGGAATGCTTCTATCCAGTTATGCAGTTGTCCAGAGATACCATAGGATTTTATTTTTAGGAGTAGTTTGTCATGTACCACTGAATCAAAGGCTTTACAGAAGTCTATGTAGATTGGGACTATTGCTTTGCCCTGATCGAGTTGTGTCCTCTTCCTCTTCATCCTTTCCCATATCAACCAAGGGCTGAAAGAGAACAATTCAGCTTAGGGCAATTGACAAAGTTTTGACTGACAAACCCAACCAAGCAGGCTCCATTGAAACAGTCCAATCTCTTAATGCAAAACTTTATTGAGTACATTGTTTGGCACAGAATGAAAGCAAAACCAGATCTGGTTAATACCTGAGGAATTCAATATAGTTAAAGTAAATTCCTCCCCACATTAGTTTAGATCACATTGTCCAATTAGATATCCAGGTGTTGTAATGGGAAAACCTCCACACCTCTGACAAACTCTTGCTGAAACATCCTTGGTTCACATGGGACAGTTTCTTGTTATTGTCTGGAATGAACATTCCAATCTCTCCCTCACTTTCCCCCTAGGTTTGTTGACAAGCTGTGAAGCAGTGAAAGTGAAAGCAGCCTGAAAACACTTCGAGGCTTAATAGCAATATTATGGAAGTAATTAATCATGTGCATTAAGGGGGATTAGACAACACTGTTTTTGTGTTGTTGTTCAGTCATTAAATTGGATCTGACTTTTTGCGACCCCATGGACTAGAACACACCAGCCCCCCTGTCCTCCACTGTCTCCTGGGTTTTGCCCAAGTTCATGTTCATTGTGTTGATCACATCATCTAACCATCTCATCCTCTGCCATCCCCTTCTCCTTTTGCCTTCAGGCTTTCCCAACAAGAGGATCTTTTCCAATGAGTTCTCTCTTCTCATTAGGTGGCCAAAGTATTTGAGCCATTCAGTAGCTGTCCTTCCAAAGAACAGTCACGAGTTAAATTTTCATCTAATTTTTGTCTAATAAAAATAGACAATATTTTTAAAAAGAGTTATATTAATTCTCAGTAATCATGTTATTCTAATTAACTATTAATTTCGAATACGTACATGCATACATATGCTAGTTTCTGCAGGACTTGTTTTTGTAAAAGAATGTTAAATTCAATTTAGTAACATTTTTTAAAAAGTGACGGCTTCAAGTTGGAAAATAATAAAATGGGTGAAATAAATCCTTTTTGTGAGAGTCTAATTGATCAGTTATGCAACTTTCAGTAGCTCCACTTACTGTGATTATTGATGTGCATGTTTTTTTTTTAATTAAATTATGTAATCTGTTCAATCAAAAGGAAAAACAAGAGGAAAACTATTTTGGACTTAAATATCCATAAGAAAATTATCCTAGCATGATAAATTAATTGGAAAAGTGACTATAATTTATAAGCAGCCTGCAATGGTCATAGGTGTGAAGACCTGTCATAGGTCACTTTTTCAGTGCCGTTGTAAGAATAGTTGTAAATCAAGGACAATCTGTATTTTTCAGGCCAAAAGCATGAACGTTTATTCCATTGGGATACATTTATGAGTCTGCAACATGCATATATTAATCACTCCTCCAGAGAAAGAAGCAGATGACACTTAGCCAGTTGTTCATATGAAAATTAAGGGAAGTAGGATGATGCTTCATCCTTTCCTTTTCTCTTTCCTTGAATTTGTAACATGGAAGAATCCTACTTGAGTGGGTCAAGCATATAGCTCAAGATCTGAAGGCCTACTCTGAATACAGAAAGTCCTAAATTCAATTCCCATCTTCCTCAAGAAAGTTTCCTACCTAAATCCATTCTAAACATCCTTCTCAACAGGTACAACCCCCATATAACAAAGTAGATCCTTGTCATGAATGAGCATGTAGAATGAGCATGAGAATTATATTCCAATGCTTCTGAAAGGCTTCAAGAGGACAAGGCATAGGGAAGCTTTATAATCCTATTTGCTTCCACCTGCTGCTAAATGAGATTGGGAAACTCATAGTTTTGTACATATATAGCCAGCTAGAAGGGAATCAAGTGCAAAAACACAGTGGAAAAAGAGAAAAGATCTTGCCTTTACTATTAATGCTAGCCACACTAGGAATTTATTAGCAATGGAGAAATCAGTCTTTCCTAAGCTAACAAAGCAAAAAAACATTTGAGATTTCCAAGGGGAAAAAAAAAAGCTAAGAAAAATTCATGCTGTCATGCAGTGATGGCTGTATATCAAATATAAACCCAATTTGTATTCCTAATTCTTATGCCACTTTCTCCTGCCAGGCAAATGCAGCAAACTGAATGACCTTCTCTTCGCCCCATTTCCATCTGTCTCTTTTGTTTACTAGCTCTCAGGACAAAAATGTGCTCTGTGCTATTTTTTGAAACAGTTTTTTCAAACCTGATAAACTCCCATCAGCCCCAGATAGCAAGTTCTCTGGATACAATAAGGGACTCATTGCCATTGACTACTCTAAGAGAAGGATACTGAGACTGGCAATCACTGCAATAACGTGCTTATCTGGCCTTTTCCCACCCCGTTTCTACCTCTACCTGGAGAGCTATTGACATAGACTCTCCTATGGTTAACAAAATTCTAAAACATTTTTCTCTCCTATTGCTTATATTTTATTTGCAACTGTTTATATTGCTTATCATTCACTTTGAAAGGACTGCTACTAACCTGAGAGGTAGAAAAGGCTATCTTAATCTATTTTACAACATGAGTTTTGCCTTTATTTTCAAGGGGAGGACATGGTCCTTGTTCATTTATTTATAAAATTTATTAGCCATCCATCTTGCCAGTAATTCTCTGAGGCTTACAAGATTAATGCACATCTCCCTGCTCTACAACAGTTTTAAAAAGCAAAATCCAAATTGGGAGCTATGATGTGCAGGTGGCACTTGGAGAAGCCATTCTGCAGGTGCTTAAAAGCCCTTTCATTGTTGTATGATGCAGATCTATATAACACAAGCTAAGTTCAACCACTTTGCAGTATCAGGGATTGTTGGAAACCAACTGTCCCAGCTCTCTGATGCAACTTGATCCCCGATTAAGCTGTGCCTGTCTTTGTAGCACCTGGGATGGATAGAGAACCCTGGGCCCAGTCGGGAGCCTCTCCTCGCTTCTATGGCTTCCAATGCAACCTGTAGACGAGGAGGCTGCTGTTCTGCGCTCTGCACATGCTCAGGGGCAGCTTGCGCGCTTTGCGTCTCGCCCTGCTTTTGCCTGCCCGTCTCCCTCCCGTTTTCCTGGCCCCGCCCTTCAGCACTTTGGCCAGCTCCTCTCCTCCTGCCCCGCCCCTCTCCCTCCTCCCCTTTCCCGGCGATTTCCGGGTTGGCGTGAAAGAGAAAGGCGGAGAGAGAGGTGAGTGACGCAAAGCGCTTCTATCAGCGCCTGCGCAGTCACGCGGCAGTCCAGACGGGACAAGATGGCGGCGATGCGGGCGATCCGGGGGATGGTGAACGGCGCCGTCTCGGAGCTGAGCGGCGGAGGCGCGACGCGGGATCAGGCGGCCGCCATCACCCGCGATTACATCTCTCAGCCCCGCCTCAGTGAGTACTGGGGCCCGGCAGCGCCTTAGTGCCTCTCCTTTTAGCCCTTGGTGGAGCTGGGAAAAGACCGGGGAGGGGGAGCGCGGTTCGGGTCACCTTCGCCCGGGATCCGTCGGACAGGCTCGGCTTCTCTCTCGAAAGGGGGAAAACTAAGATTTGTTCATAGGGCAAGAGGAGAGGATCCCCCTGGATGCAGCAGGTCCAACCTTGGCGTCCTCTGTTGGATTGTAAATCCCATGTTGGCTGAGGATGATGGGCGATTTGGTCCGTGTGTTGTGATGATGCTTAGGGGCGGAATGGGGGTGGGGGCGACGATGCAGGAGTTCTTCTTGGGTGGGGGCCGGGATGCAGCCCCTCCTTCTTCAGATCTCATCCTGGCATCAAAAAGGGTGTTCCTATCCTCCTGCTCTGTGCATTTGCCCGAGAAGGGAATGCAAGCCTTTTCCAGGGGTTTCCATGCCCCAAAGCCCTGCAGCGAAGACCAGACCTTGCATGCACAGCCAGGCCCAGCTTCTGCCTCCTTTTACCTGCTTCTTGCCCGTCATCCTGCAGGGAGAGCCTCTCTGTCACCTTTGTTTTCTCTCCAAGGATGTTGAGTGTCTCTTCCTTGAATGGTTGGCATCAGACCCCCCCCCCCCCAACACTCCAGGCTAGGCACACACACACACAGGACTGCAAGTGCCAGTTTCTGCTTCCAGTAAAGCCAGTGAAATCCAGGATGGCTTATTTTCAAGTAAACCTCCCATAGTTAGAACTGAATGTCCAAGGGTAGGGTAAATTGCCATAAAATAAAATAAATCCCAAGGTGAAGAAATAATTTTGGGAGTGGTGAGGCCCAAAGTAGGCTATATTGCAATGCCACCCCCTGCAGGATCAGATAAGCTTCTTTGTGGTACTCCATGCCCATTCTCTTAACAGTACACTTCAGTAAATGATTTCCTTGGTTTTAATCTGAGGCAATAACTCACATGATTTATCACTTTCTTATCCGAATCATGTCTTTCTCCCCCATTTTTTAATATGGGCTGTCTTCTAGTGTCTTGGTCAGCTTATTCCCCCGTGCTGATTTGGTGGATTAAAAAAACCACTAGAATGCTCTCGTTCCTCCACTGAGAGATGGTTTTTGCCAGTCTTATTCTATTGCTGCCCCTTGAAGCTGGTACACTCTCCCTGCCTAGTTTTTTTTCCTTTTCTCTGTATCTCTCTTTCTTAAAGGTTCAAACAGAACCATCCTGGTTTGCTATTAAAATGAGAAATGAGAATGAGAGATTGTGAAACCTTCTGACTAATAGATTCTGTCAACATCATGTGACACACTGCAGGTTTGCATTAAAGCAGTCAGTGGAAGCAAGATGGCTCTAGCATTCTCAGAGTTTTTGTTCTCACATCCCAGTGTGTGAAATGCTCTAAGGATAAGACAGACTTTCAGGTCTTTGGGGGCTTAGATTTATTGTTCCCAGATGAAATGGAGGAAAGATGGAGGCAAGAGTTAATTTAGGAAGAGTTCCAACATTGTTGCATGAGACAGCTGGTTTTATTCATTTGCTTGATCTGGAATTGCCTTGGTTGCCTTTAGATCAGAAGGGAGAGGAAATGTAGAAGGCTGATCTCTTCAAATTGTTGAGCTGGCTGGTTATTTGGCAACTGCCACTCAGCTAAGATGGTCCTCCTTGCATAAGGTGGTGTGCAAGTTTAATGTAGGCAATTAAATCAGATGTAAGCCGAAATAGGCTATTATTATTTCCCAGTTATTCCCTGGGAAATTAAGTTTGGTTACTATTAGGCACAGGGATGTTCCTGATGCTGATTTTGTTGCTATAAATCAAAGGCAGTGTGTCAGCAAATAAAGTTTGGCAATTGTGGAACTCCCAGAACGGGGACATCCTGTGTTACGCCAGTGAAAAATTGCTTCATGGATCCCATACAGATACAAGAGTGGGATGAACTGAAAAATCGTAAGATTTATATGGTAGTTGTACAGAACTGGCCTGGAAAGCCACATTTTAACTAATTTGGAACTCTTATTTGGGGAGGTTAGGGGTAAAATTGGGTGTTTGTGGCCACAGTTCTTAGATTTGTATATTGTTTCTGCAGTTGCAAGGAATATGTTATCTAGGATAAGATATGTAAGGCTGTGCTTAGGTTGTAAATATTGAAGTTACTGAAAATTATCAGTAACTTTACTGTTACAAAGCTAATAAAACAAGCCTGCTTTCAAACAGCATCCTAGATGTTACCTTTTGAGGGACCTCTAAGACAGTAGTCCGCAGAGAAATGTCACCCACAGAGCACCCCCCAAAGCAATTAATCCAGGCTGTGCGAGAACACAAAGCTGCACCGCCCACATGGCCTGCAGGAACCCTCCCTGCCTGCTCACTCCTTACTTGACAAACTTGCCTGCTAAGTTGCTATTTTTCCTTTTTTTGGGTTCCCCAACCATCAGCTGTTCTGCTGTGCCAGGAGATTTTGATTAGCTAGAAAGCAGGAAATGGTTGCTAGTCTTTAGATCTTCGGCTCTGCTTTTGAGCAGAGCCGAACCTTCCTTAGGACTGAAGCTTCTATTATTCAGTGCAGACTCACTGCAAGCAAATTTTATGTGAAGGCAGATAGATAGAACTCTGAATGATTCTGTGAGCAACTCAATCTGTCTGCCCGCCTTGATTGATTTTGGGTAAAAGTTGCTCTTTTTTATAAAAAAAAATCAATATTTGTATAAATATAATATTTATATACAAGCCATGCCCAACCAGTCACATGACCACCAAGCCACACCCACAAATTAGTCCATGCCCACAGAATCGTTTGTTAAGAAATTTGAATCCCACCCCTGCCTCTGTGTGTTTGTGAGTGTGTGAGAGAGAGGGAGAGGGAGAGAGAGTTTATGTCAGATCTCTCTCTCCCCTCCCCACAACCACCACCAATGTTAGCAAGCCACCATCAGTCAAAATTCATATTAGTGGTTCCCGGGATTTTAAATTATGAGTTTGGTGGTCCCTGAGGTCCAAAAGGTTAGCGACCCTGCACTAAGAGACTGGGATTTGCACTTTGGCAAGATTTTAGCAGCTATATTTTGGAGCTGTGCAATAGATTTTAAGGATATAGCTAAAACCCAAATATGGTACAGAAGGAAAAAAACCTTGTCCATTGCTCTTCAGTTGCTATGAAACACACACACACACACACACACACACACACACACACACACACACACAGAGTAAATAACTGTTTTACCACACACATCTTTTGAACAGCAGCAAATATGTACAATGTTAAAATATTTAAAGCTAGGGTTAAAAAAACTGGACTAATTGTTTTAAAAGGTCTACACTTTAACATCGTTTTCATTTAAAACCCAAATATTAGCAGCATAATTGGTGATATTGTAAAAACGTCTTTACTGTACACCAAAAACTTTGTTACAAATCCACCAGGCATGTAAATATTACTGTGCTGACACAATACAGGTAACATACTATCATGTTTGCTATGAATAGTTTCATATAACTGTTCTTCCAGTTAAGTTGGAGACATCCTCATGGTAATCCCAAACACAAATAAACAATAATAAATTTTACTTACATAAAATGTTTTAATCTAGATACAAACTGTTCCATTAAAATTATTACTGGATTCACACATATTAAGCCAACCACCAAATACAACATATTATGTGAAGCCTAACAAAATAATGCTATGGGATAGTTGACCTGGTGAGACATTTTGGATAAATAAGAATCTGGGTTTACCTTTCCTGAGACTAGAAATGAGTACAGGTGGTCCTTGACTTACTACCACAATTGAGCCTAAAATTTCTGTTGCTAAGTAAGCCATTTGCTGAGTGAGTTTTGCCCCATTTTATGACCTTTCTGGGCACAGTTCCTAAGTGAATTATTGTAGCTTATTTAAGTTAGTAACATGGGTGTTAAGTGAATCTGGCTTCCCCACTGACTTTGATTGTCAGAAGGTTGCAAAAAGTGATCATATGATTCCAGGACACTGCATAAATATGAATCAGTTTCCAAGGATCTGAATTTTGACCAGATGAGCCTGGGGATGCTGCAATGGTCATATGAGAGCATTTGCACCAAGACAAATTCCTTTTGTGTCCAATCACACTTGCCCAATAAAAGAATTCTAATTCTAATAAATCAATTTTTTCAGTGCGTTTGTAACCTTAAACAGTCAGAAAATGAATAGTTCTATGTCAAGGACTACCTGTAGCATCTAATGATCATGCTGAATGGAATTTTTGAGCAAAATGTCTGGAGACCACCTTGGTTTTAAATTGACAAAGTGAGGTGACTAAGGAAGAACAAATTTATTCTGTCCCTCATCCAGTTTGTAAATAGCAATAACAGTGGCAGCAACTAAAGCAGATTTATAACATAGCTATCTGTGAAAACCATTGACCAAATGGCTAATCTCTTGTCTACCAAATCTTTAATTGGATCTGACTCTTTGTCAGATTCCATGAAGATTTGTGCTTAGGTATGACCTTCACATGACAATCCCTTTGGCATATTTTAAGTATCACTTTTGTCTAATGAGATTTATTTCTAGATAATTATGGATTGGATGTAGCTTCTTACTCAATTATTCTGTTCTAGAAATAATCTGGTTTGTTCATCGTTTCCTTAATTTTTGGGAATAGTGATTAATGATTACTCTTTTGTCTTGTGAGCCTGATAAAGCCCTTGTGCTCTTTGAAGTGCTTCTCTTTTTACAGTCATGTGGAATTAAATTGAAGCTTTTGCTGATAAAGGACTTTTATACCTTCCTGCAAGCTCTTTTTTACTTCCTCCCCCATCCTTTATTCATTATACAATGTCTCAAACTTCCTTTCCAAATAGATTGTTGTAAAATAATTCCTACACATTTTTTGGCTGCATCTATGAGCCCAGATAAAAATTTTTGCATATCACCAAGATAGTTGACTTTCTTATAGCCCTCTTGACAATGGCAACAGGCCATAGTGCTTCACAGAGTTTTATTTGCAAAATGAACAGGTATGTATTAAATCAAAATGTACAGTTAGTGGAGGTAAAACTTAAAATTTAGCATGATAAATGGATCCAGGTCCTTGTGGCATTATAAGCAAACCATGGCTTTGATTTGCTGTGAAATCATCCCTTTTCATTTTAAAAACCTGATTTATGGCATGTTATATATACTCATCTAACTGTGACTTGTTTGATAAACCTTGGTGTAAGAACCAGGTCATACTATTTCTGAGCGTATGAATATTAGAAGACAACTTCATGCCTTATACGTTATGGTAACCTAACCTGCAAGAAATTAGGCCATGCACATTTTAATCTTCAGAAGCTTCTCATAGACAAGCTAAAGTGGAGAGAGAAAGCATTTCTAAAACCCATTTCCACTACTCTAGTCAACAAGTAAAAAAGCTAAGGATTATCATCCAGCAAATGACTGAAACTTGGTGATTGTTTCTAGTTTCCAGGTGGTTTTGTTTAGAGGGTGAATGAGAGAGATGCTCTAGAATTATGAGCTCCCGAGAATCCAGGCTTTTATGAGGATTCCTCAGATTTTTTAAAAATCTCTGGATCCATTCAGGAAAAGGGAGGTACAGTAGTCCTTGACTTATAACCACAATTAACCCCAAAATTTATGTTGCTAAGTGAGAAATTTATTAAGTGAGTTTTGCCACATTTTATTACTTTTCTTGCCACATTTGTTAAGTGAATCATTGCAGTTCTTAAATTGTTAACATGGTAGTTAAATGACTCTAGCTTCTCCATTGACTTTGCTTGTTAGAAGGTTGCAAAAGGTTATCAGATAGCCCCAGGTGTTGTGGTTCGCTGGCAGCCGGTGCGGATGGCAGAGGTATTGGACAGTGAGGATGAAAGGGAACCAGTCAGGGAGTCTGGCGAAGACTTGGACGAGGGTCCTGTATCTGATGCAGGGATAGGGCCAGGACTATCTGAGAGTGGGGTTCTGCCTTCGGAGCCTTTGGAGTCTGGCAGCAGCGAGGCAGAGGACCTTGGGGAGCCTGTTTCCAGTGCACTTGTGCACAGGGCTGCTAGAAGGAAAGAGCAGCTAAAGCAGCAGGGGTGACTTGGGAGTAAGGCTGGGAGGTGATTGCCCCTCCCATAAGAGATAAAAGCCAGCTCTCGGTGATGTGCTCTTTGCAGGAAGCAAAGAAGTTCATTAGATTCTTGATTCCTCATCAAAGCCCTGTGGACTCTGGTTTGTCTTTGCTGGAACTTCTGTCTGTTTATCTGCTAATTAAGTGGACATCTGTTTCTTGGCAGCCTTTTACAACCCTGAAAGGCATGCTCTTATCTCAGACAATTGTGTTTAATGAGTTTTGGCTGGGAATGCAAATAATTCCCAGTGTCGCATTAAAAAAGGTTTGCTTTTACACACAGCATGTGTTTTCTTAATTTCAATGAAGCCTGGGTCAGAACACTAGGACACTGCGACCATCATAAATATGAACCGCTTATTAAGCATTGGATGTAAATCATGTGACTTTGGGGATGCTGCAATGGTCATAAGTCACTTTTTCAGTACCATTGTAACTTTGTAAGGTCACTAAACAAACTGCTGTAAGTTGAAGACTTATCTGTATAGCACTTAGCTTTATAAAGTACAAATGGATTGTTTACTGCAAAGTATAAAGAACTAAGCGCCCAATAAAGTAGCCTCTTCTTACAGGAGAGACATAAGTGTGAGAAACTTCTTTGGCAAAAGCTTTGAGCCAGGCAAAGGTACAGGGATCGAGTTCATATGTAGTATTAATTCATGGTTCCTTAATATTTACTTTTTATTGATTTCATTGTAATTTCCTTGCTCCCCAGAATCATTGAGAGTTTATTGAGATCACACTTTGAAAATTACTTATTTAAAGTGATATGTGAATCAAATTTCAGTTTATGTGCAATTATTCTCCTTTTTTCTGCTCTTTCTTTATAGGGACTGATAGTGGCAGAGATAGTGCTCTATAGCAGTGGCCCCCAAGTTTTTGGGCACCAGGGACGATTCTGCGAAGTTTTCCCACGGACCATTGGGGGGCGTGATTTGGTTTGTTGCCTGTATCCCGCAGATTCATTTGTTTGCACAGACCAGTTTCTGGCATTCTGCGGTCCAGTACCAGTCCACAGACCAGGGATTGAGGACCCCTACCCTATAGCACATTTTCTTAGGAAATATAAAATGAATGCATTATTAGTTCAAACCAGTTGATCCTTGCGAGTGTCATGCATAAAAAGTGAAATGAAATAATAACACATCCTCCAGACATGTGTGGGTCCAACTGAGGCTAGTTCAGGTCTCCTTAACACAGAGTAAGAAACTCTGGGATGTCAAACATCTGCCTTTGATTATTTTCCCACTGCCAAGCGCTCAAGAAGGTGCAGATAACTGGTGCCAATGCAAATGGGTATGATCTTTCCCAGCTATTCATTGAAGGAAATTCTGGCACAGAGCCTCAGCGTGCTCTGAGAAGATTGCAGCTTCTGACTTGCTTCCTTGTGCCAAAATTTTTGTCCTAAAGATTAAGGATCTGCAGCTTTTGAACTTATGGTGATACCCCCACCCCATCACTTTTGCAGCAAAGGGTGGAACAAAGAAGGCTTTTATTGAACTGCTATAATGGGATACATGATTTTATGAAAACAGTGTTATCTCTGCTGGTATTAACATGGTATAGGGCAGGCTCTGTAGCCTTTATAAATGTGGTGTACTTAAACTCTGGGAATTATGATTTTGGATCATGGTGTTTAGGTGGTATTTTTTTTTCCTCCAGTCTTTCTGTAATTTAAATGAAAGCTATTGCATATAATTCATTATAATCAAATTAGTGCCTGAAAATATAATTTAGATATATTCAGTCTTAACAATAGCACACATCCTTAGAATTAGTTGATCAGTAACTTTAGAATTCCATAGCAGGTTGATAGCCTATTTACATGATTTTACATTTTCAGAGACGAAGCAAAAAAACAGTGGCATTAAAAAATCTCTTTAGCTAACTTACAATATAGATAGTCCTCAATTTACAACAGTTGACTGAATGAGTGACTATTCAAAATTACAAAAGCACTGAAAAAAGTGACTTATGACCATTTTCCCCACTTATGACTCTTGCAGCATCCCCATGGTCACGTGATTTACATTCAGATGCTTGACAAGTAACGCACATTTATGACAGTTGCGTTGTCCCGGAGTTATGTGATCCCCTTTTGTGACTTTCTGAGAAGCAAAGTTTACTGAGAAAGCAGGTTCACTTAATGACTATGTTACTAATTTAAGAACTGCAGTGATTCACTTAACAAATATGGCTAGAAAAGTTGTAAAATGGGACAAAACTCACTTAACAAATTTCTCACTTAGCAACATAAACTTTGGGCTCAATTGTGGTCGTAAGTTGAGGACTATCTGTAATTGGTACTCCATATCTAGCATATGACTCAGCTAGTTGTGATCTCTTTTCCAGAGATGATCTATCAAGCATAAGAATGTATTTGATGTGACTACTTAGCCTCCATTATTACTTACTAAATTTGTGTAAATTTTGACTAAGAGTGCATTAAATTGTTTAAATTGTTAAATTGTTTTCTTCATTTTGGCTTTTTAGCATATAAAACAGTATCTGGAGTTAATGGACCGCTCGTAATCTTGGATCAAGTAAAGGTAAATTTTAGATTTGATCGGTTTGTAAAACACTTGATTTGAACTGCAGTTTTCTGTGGTTGTGTTTTCCTTAATTATAGAAGGATCTCTATATGTCTAAGTGTATTTTGTGTCCATTTCAATGCTAGTTTGGTTGATATTGTAATGAAAATTACATTCAAACCAATGTATAGACATACCATCCTTTTGGACACAGAAAGCATTTCTCAACATGTTCAATGCAGACATGCAACTCTCATCCCATCCTTTGCACTAAAATAACATTCATAGACAAATAACTTTTTTAAAAAACAATTTTATTTGAGTTTTCACAAAACAAAAGGAAAAATAGAACATCTTTTTTTCGTGAACAACATGGTTCCAGGTTTTCACATCTGCACACAGATATAATTTCAGTTACATATTCATTTTTCACATTCAGTTTCTTATCACTACTTTATATATTCTCTATTTTTACTCAAATACCTCCCTCAGGCTTATTTTATAGTTTTCTCATTCATTTCCAGATCTATTTCATTTCCTTTTCAAAATTTCCATGTCTTCACAGTTATTATACTTATACTTTTATCTGTCCTGTTTACAGTTTCACTACATATTCTTATATCATCATTTCCCAAAGAATTCCTCCACATTTCAGATATTACAAAACAAGGTTTCCCCTGTGTTAGTTCTCTTTCAAATCCCATTGAACATTCTGCTTTAAAGGATCCCCCTAAACAGCTATAACATTCATCTCCTAATATATATATTTTAATATACATCTGTTTTCAACCAGATTCCGCATGGTGCTTCCCCCTTAAGCTACCTCTAAAATATTTTAAATTTCAATGAAAAAAAAAAATCAATTCTCCATGCTGCAGCGAGAGCCCAGGATGGGTAGATTCCTTCTTATGATGCCATTAAGCTGAGTCTGTTCTTGTATATATAAAAGCCAACCCCCGGGAGTATTCCCAGTTTTGACTCAGCTTCTTTAAGTCACAAGCTGTGTCTCTGAAAACGTTAGCAATTTTTTTTCAGCGAAATTCAAAAAAGTTATCTTTGCTTCAGTCAGCTCCCAGGGATCCAGGTAGCTGCAACTTCAGGAGAGCGGGGCTCCATTCTCCTGCAACGTTAGGATTAACGTTTGTTTCCCAAGAGCTGCGAGGCAAGCAGGGAAGCGTCTGAGCTACCTTCCCCATAGCTGTGGTTTGCGCGATCGTAAAACTGATCAGCAAACCAATAACAGCGCTAGCTAGCTGATTGCTTAGGTGGCGACTCTTACCTTCTCTGGCTGATCCTATCGCTCAGGGCTCGCAATAGTCTAAGGAGCGACATCTACTTCTTCAGAGCCCTCGATGAGCAGCAGCCATCTTGGAGTGCAGTCTCTTCAGACACAAGGTGAGCGGCCATTTTAAGTGGCTCGGTGACCATTTTCAGGCCAACAAAAGACCCAATTGCACCCTCTGCCAACCTTAAGCGCATATTGAGAGCCATTCTTACAACGCTTGAACCTTGCCTATTTTAAAATGGATCAGGACAGGGCTCATGAAGAACTTTCCTCCCCAGTGGAACAGACCCTCCAACCCACTAAAAGGAAAAGACACAGATAGCGTACTGCTCAGAGGGAAGTGGCTGCAAAAATCAGAGCTAAGGCTCTAGCCCCCAACAAGACAACTCAGGCTGAGTTGAGGGCAGAGAAACACAGACACGTGGCTCTAGAGAGACAATTTAACAAAACTATTCAAAAATGAAAGGACAACTGCAACAAGCTTCCCAGCCAGGTGAACATCAGGGTTCCCAGAGAAGCCCCCCCCCCCAGGGGAGGGGAAGTTGTTCATGGAGCCTTTGGACCCCCCCCCCCCCCCGGGCCTGGTCTCCTGAGGCATTTGAGGAACAACTAGATCCTCAGGATTTGAGCAGGTCTGAGCCATATTTCCAGCAAGCTTCTGGGCCCTATGCCCCCTCTCTTCCCTCTAGAGTTCAGGCCTCCTCCCAAATCAGGTCAGAATCCACCTTTACACCCACAGCAGCCCTCCAACCCTACCTTTGCTAGCAGGCCCAAGGAGATCCAAGAAATTGTTTCCTTGACCATTAGAAAGGGACTGGCTGAAGGTTTTCAGCAGATTCTTCGGCCTCTGGAAAGGTTTCAGGCCCTTCTCCCTCCTCAGTCCATAGGCTCCTTTCCTCCTCAACAAGATTTCCACAGGCCCCAGGGCCTCGGGGCCCATTCTTCACAGGCAGAATGGGAGGATTATGAAGGAGAAGAGAGTGCCTCCCCATCTGAACACAGTTGCTCCTCTCCTTCAGAACGTGAAGAGGGCGAAATCTGTGATCGCAATCTTTCAGAGGAAGAAGACTCTCATCCAGATCAGCCCTCCTCTGCATTGGTCTTTAAACCAGTCCTCTTTGAACCCTTACTTAGCAAGGCCCTGGTCACTGCCAAGCTGTCACCTGAGGAAGTGGTCCCTGAACCACAAGGGGAACCCACCATCTGGGCAAGGAGACTCCCTCTTCTCCAAGCCTGTAGTACACATGGAGGTTTTGCCTTCCCCCCTTTTGTTTCTCGACATGGTCAAGGAGTAATGCGCTTCCCCTTCAGCAGGTACTCATCCATCAGCTTTTGGCAAACGGTTCTATAATATCAGCACATCCCTAGCCAACTCCCTTGCAGTGCCCTCTGTAGACACTCCGGTTGTGGCATCATTCTCCTCTTCTGGCACTCCCACCGAGCCAGAAGATGTACTTAAAGCAGAAGATAAGCATTCCGAACAGACTCTCAAATGCAACCACCAAGCAGCTGTGTGGGCTGTCTGGGCTTCGACCGCTGCATTGTTTTTCATGAGGGCATCTCTACGATGGCTGCACCAACTGCAGGACCAATTGCCTGCCTCTGACCTCAGGTCTCATCAGGACCTTAACAAAATTATAGCGCTGCAGAATTCACTACGGATGCCACCCTCAGTTCCGCCAAATTTGCATCAAGGGCCATGGCATCTTCGGTGGCAGCAAGAAGGCTTCTGTGGTTCCGAAATTGGCAGGCAGAGTCACACCGTGAATGGAAGCTGGCTTCTTCCCTCTGTGCAGGAGACAAGCTTTTCAGCGAGGCTCTAGAGCCATATCTCATTGAGATCAGAGATAAATGAAAAATTATTTCCTCCTCGGGGGAAAAAAGCTGACGATCGCCCACCTGCCTTTCGGGCAGAGACCACCTCCCGCTTTACTCAGCCACAGAGGGCGTATTCTCAACGCCAAGAACAACGCCCAGAAGCACCTGGCAGACAACAACCTTCTGCTGGTAAACGGCCCTTTCGGGGGAGAGAGGGTCGTTCCTTCCGTTGCTCTAAGTAATATCTCATTCTCCCCATCCATTGGAGGTTGTTTAGCCTTCTTCACCTCCAAATGGGAGGAGTCAACGATGGATGCCTGCATGCTCAACACTGTTAGGTCAGGGCTACAATTGGAATTTCTATTGTCACACCCAGAAAATTTTTTGATTTGTTTCACGGGACACTTCAAAGAGAGCCCTTATGAATTCGGCCATTCAACACCTACTCAACATAAGGGCTATTCAACCAGTCCCCATCTTACAATGGGGACGTGGATTTTACTCTCGTCTTTTCACTGTTCCCAAAGCCTCGGGGGGGGGGGGTGAGCCATCCTTGACCTAAAATTTCTCAATTTGTCAAATGCAGGCAATTTAAAATGCAAACACTGCATTCTATTTTAGAGAGCGTTCGGGAGGGCGTTCTCTTCCATTGATCTCATGGAGGCTTACCTCCATATTCCCATCTGGCCTCATCATTGCCAGTTTCTCCATTTCTGTTACCAGAATGCCCACTACCAGTATCGAGCTCTTCCCTTCGGCCCCTCATCGGCTCCAAGGGTCTTCCCAAAGATTCTAGCAGCAATGGTGGCTTCATTACATTCTGTTCCAGTGAGGATCCAGTGCTACTTAGACGACATGTTGATACTGTCCTCCTCCATCCACTCTGCCCATCCAGACCCAGAGATTACCCTGTCCTGCCTCCAAAGCCACGGCTTTTCTATCCACACCAAGAAGAGCCATCTCTCACCTACAACCAAATTGCTACACTTGGGAGCAGTTATCGATACAACTTTGTGCCAGGTTTTCCTGTCTCCAGATCGTGGAAAAAGCCTTGCAGGGATCATCAGCCAGATTCAACAGCAACAGATTGTTCCCTTGTAGCTACTGTCCAAATTATTGGGAAAGATGGTTTCCTGTATTGGTATCCTATATTGGCATCGTCCCTTGGGCACGGCTTCACTCCCAATTGCTCCAATGGTTCCTGCTCCCCTTTCAATGAGCAGGAACCAGCCACTCGTTAATCAAGGTCCTGCTCTCTCCACAGGCCCGGCAGTCCCTCAATTGATGGCTCTCCCTGTCCCTCTGGAAGGGGCTCCAGTTCAAGGAACCATACAGGCTAGTAATCACTACAGATGCCAGCCTTCTGGGTTGGGGCTCCCATGTGGAGGGTCAGAGAGCTCAAGGGGTTTGGTCCAGGTCAGACAGAACCCAACCCTTAAATTGGTTAGAGCTCAGAGCTATATCTCTGGGTCTTAGGCATTTCAGAGCCTCTGTGACCGGTTCCCATGTTCTTGTGTTGATGGACAATATGGCCACAAAGGCACACGTCAACAGGCAGGGGGGATGAGATCCAAGGCACTTATGAGGGAGGCAGAATGTTTGGGGCTATGGGCAGAGAAACACTTGCTGTCGATTTCAGCAGATCACATCTCCGGAGTCGACAACTCCCAAGCTGACTGGCAGAATGGTCCATTCACCCGTCCCTATTCAGGGATCTTTCCCTCAGATTCAGAACTCTGGAGGTGGATCTCTTCTCCACTCCTCAGAATGCCCAAGTCAACAGATTTTTCACCAGGTTTCCTTGCCAGGGAGTGAAGGGGACCAATGCTCTTCAGTGCTCTCCTCTACGCCTTTCCCCCTTTTCCCATCATTCCGGTGGTCATACGGAAGTTGTTGGAAGAATGAGCAGAGCTAA